GGAATTAAAAATAAAGCATCTCAGAAATTACTGTTGCATACTTTTATTTTAAGAAAGTTACGTTAAGGTAACTATTGTTCATAGTTAAACCACTATTTGAAATAGTTTCAAGGTACAAAAACAAATTACACGCATCCCGTAATCGTAACTATTTTAATAGTAGTTTAACTATTTAATAGTACGAAAAAACAAATACACGGACGACTATTTTTATACCCTTGCAGAGGGTGTTATAATTTCAGTCAGATGTTTGCAACGCAGTGAAGGAGACGTTTCCGACCACATAAAGTATATATATTCTTGATCAGCATCAATAGCCGAGTCCATCTAGCCATGTCAAAGTCTGTCAGTCTGTCCGTCTGTCCGTTTCTATGCGAACTAGTCCCTCAGTTGTAAGGCTATCGCGATGAAACTTTCCCAAAAGTCTTCTTTCTATTGCAGGTAGTACATATGTCGGAACGAGCCGGATCGGACCACTATATCTTATGGCTCCCATAGGAATAATCAAAAAATAATAGAACAACTATTGTAACTTTGTAGAAAGTAGGCGTTTTGATTTTTGACAATCTAAGAACAACATTTTAAGTTGGCATACCTGCAAGGGTATATAAACTTCGGCTGGCCGAAGTTAACTTCCTTTCTTGTTATTGTTAAAGTACTATTTTTTTAGTTACTGAACTATCTTCATTGGTCAATTTTACCAAGCAAATTTTTTTGTGTGCAAGAAATTTAAAACAGCGCCCAGCCTGCCTTCTTTAATCCAATACAACAAGTGTTGTTGACAGCATCACTTTCCGCATTTCATTTTGTGTCATTAATTTTGGAGTCGGAGAAACCACATTGTGAAAAATAACAGCTGATCCCCTTTTCCTTTTGATTTTGCGCTCGACATGCTTGTTCGAATCGTCGACTGGAACTAAATTTTGACATGTGATAAGAATTTTTCAGATAAATCTCGATGACCCTGGCAATGTGGTGAGCCAATGTGCCAAATTTCCATTTTTCTTAAGCCCGCTATTCGTAAAAGTTAAGTTATTATCACGGTATTAAGATACCTCAATATTAGCAATGCGCTAGGAACTCTATTCAGTCCTGCGTTTGCAACCCTGCCTGAAATCCTATTGTTATGTATACATATTTTATGTCTACAAAATTATGCATGGGAGTTTCAGCACTTGTTTCCTTATTTATATGTAAGAGTTTTTTTTAAAATTGCTAAATCATCATGAAAGATCAAATATTAAAAATAGAAACTTTAAAATCGTCCACAGCTGCAACATTTAGGGCCGTTTTCTCGTCCGTTTGTTAAATTTAAAGTGAAATAGTATGGGTAATCAGAGTTTTAACCCTACTTTAAATTTACCGCGCGGACGAGAAAACGGCCCTTAATGACATAAAATAAACAACATTGATATTTTAATTGTTTTTGATATTTTTATAAGAATTAGATGATCATTCTTGAAATAAGTTTAACTAACTATAATAATCGGTAAAAGTTCATGAAAGAATTTTCCTTTAAGCTGTCCTTTTCTAGCTGTCGGAAGCCAAAACATTTTAAACGTTTTTTAAGAAAGTAACCACTCATAAAATCGGAATTCGACTTCTTGTTTTTTTTAACTTTTTCCGCTCATAGTTCTTAAGTTCTTCGCGGCTTGTGGGAGTTAGAGTGGGCGTGGCCAACTTTAAAGTCAATCGATAGGTATTGACGAAAGAAATACATTTCAGTGTAACATTTTGTTCTATTATCAAAACTGCGGGCGTCACAGTATTTTGTGGTTTGTGGGCATTAGAAAGGGCGTGGTACCTTGACTTGACAAAATCTATAGAGTTTTGTTACAGATTTTTTTCAAAGTCTACTATTTAGTTTGACAAGACTAAAAACGGGATCACGATTTTTTCGACCAAATTGGAACTGTTATACGTGTCGTACACACAAAAAAATTTGATTGGTAAAATTTACAAATGAAGATAGTTCAGTAACTATAAAAATAGTACTTTAATAATAAAGAAGTCGACCGTGTATTTGTTTTTGCTTTGCCTACTATTAAATAGTAAAACTACTATTAAAATAGTTTTAACTATTTAACGAAGAAATCTTCTGCGATGCCTTATATATAATTCCTAACTGGACCTAACCCTTTATGAACCAAGGCCAAGTCAGATTCTGAGTCATTAAGACTTTACTTTAAAACTTATTTTCTGTCCTAAGTCTTTAATATTCATTAGAGACCTGCACGAGTAAGTAAAAATATACTCGATTACTACTCGGCGATGCCGATTCCAACTGTCAAATCTGGCATCGTGGCATCGTAGAATCGTTTTTTTTTTTTAAGAAAATCAACCAAAATTCATATCAGAACAAGAGGAACCAATGTAGACCAAGATATCACAATTATTAGTCTTATTCACCTAAGGGCTAGTACTCAGCCCAACAAAAAGTCGTCCAAAACAAAAAACTATAGAGTTTTGTTACAGATTTTTTTCAAAGTCTACTATTTAGTTTGACAAGACTAAAAACGGGATCACGATTTTTTCGACCAAATTGGAACTGTTATACGTGTCGTACACACAAAAAAATTTGATTGGTAAAATTTACAAATGAAGATAGTTCAGTAACTATAAAAATAGTACTTTAATAATAAAGAAGTCGACCGTGTATTTGTTTTTGCTTTGCCTACTATTAAATAGTAAAACTACTATTAAAATAGTTTTAACTATTTAACGAAGAAATCTTCTGCGATGCCTTATATATAATTCCTAACTGGACCTAACCCTTTATGAACCAAGGCCAAGTCAGATTCTGAGTCATTAAGATATTACTTTAAAACTTATTTTCTGTCCTAAGTCTTTAATATTCATTAGAGACCTGCACGAGTAAGTAAAAATATACTCGATTACTACTCGGCGATGCCGATTCCAACTGTCAAATCTGGCATCGTGGCATCGTAGAATCGTTTTTTTTAAAGAAAATCAACAAAAATTCATATCAGAACAAGAGGAACCAATGTAGACCAAGATATCACAATTATTAGTCTTATTCACCTAAGGGCTAGTACTCAGCCCAACAAAAAGTCGTCCAAAACAAAAAACTTCAAGAAATTTTTATTTTACATTTTTTGTTGCATTCCTTTTGAATACCCAATTTTCGTTCATTTTTCACCCGAGTGTGGGGATTTTTCCCACATATACTCCATTGCGTTAATCCTCCATTGTTAATACAAAAAAAATTGGTTTTTCCATAGGTTTCATTTTTATGAAGACGGGGCTGTGGGTGAGAGCTTTATTTTTACAAACGTCTTTTTTCGAAAAAAATGATTCTACACACAAAAAAATTTGCTTGGTAAAATTGACCAACAAAGATAGTTACGTAACTATTAAAATAGTTACGTGTATTTTGTTTTGGCTTTGGGTTTGTGTCTTTGCTAATGGTGTGTATTTTGTTGTTGTGAAATGACTATTTACTTAGTAGAATTGACAATTTTGCTGGTTGGGGCCTGTTTGACAATTATTACAGTTGATTTTACCAAGTTTTTTTTTGTGTGTACGCATTAGCAGTATGTATGATAATTTTGAAGGTACATTCATGAAATTAAATAAATAATTTTAAATATATTTCTTTGAAGTTTTTTTTTATTTATATAGACTCTTAAATAAATCTAAAACCAAAGAATTGTTTAAGGAAAAAAAAATTATTTTTTTTATCAAGATTTAAAGTTTATATGAATGTGCGCGTATACATTTTTTACAATTTACACACCACATCATATAAAATAAATTAACGTTTTTTCACACATTCCAGGAAAATCAGATTCGTCACCTTTACAATGCGCCATGAAATTTTTGGCACACGCAATAGGAATGACAAAAAGTCGATTCAAGAATGTTCCCCTTTGAAGAACCCCTCACTGGATGCCGGCACTAAAATAATGGGAAAAACGGGGTGGAGGAGGAATGGATTCGTTGGTGCGTGTGACTTCAAAAATCCTAAAAACGTGTCGGACAGGATGTTGAGTGCAAGTAAGCTCAGTGGTGGCTTTTTGAGGGTGGCTAAGGTTCTGGGATGCTGTTACTTGGTGGTTTAATTTCTGTAAATAATAGATTTCGAAAATGTAAATGCAAGCTGTAGTCTGATCGGCCTAGATGCTGTAAGCGTTGCTCTTGCCGTAAGTATGTATAAATATATATAATTTGTTCTTTTGAGTATATTATACATTTTAATATTCTATATTGTAGGATTGATTGAGGCCTAGATTAGGGGCTGTGCATTTATGCGGACCTGCACTTGTAAAAATGTCCTTCAACTTATGAACATGTTCATTTTTGATATTTTCAATATTCTAAAAGAGTTAATTATTCTACCTAAACTCCACATCGAACAAATTATGGAAAGTGTTGTAAGTTCAACATTTTTTTTCTTAGTATTTTATTTGTTGTGTAAATATTTTGTATTTTACGTTTACTCATAATTTGGTTTACACTTTTAATGGTTTAAATCCAATTTTAAGATTTTAGATTGTTGAATTTGTATAGCCAAGGGTTTAAGCCAATGAATGCAGTAAAGTTGATAAAACATCATCATAAGCAAGCATATGCATACGCAGACGGATAAGTACATATATATATACATCTAAGTTTATGTGAATTCGGTTTTATTTGCCACCGTTATTATCACTGAATTCATAAAGTTAAAGTTGCCTACGTTTTATTAACCATGTTCGTACAGTACAGATATACTTTGTATACTATATGTACTAAATGTACTATCCATATCCGTCTCTCTCCCACTCAACTCTCATTCGCCAGTTCAGCGAGCGATGTATTTCCATTTCCATTTCCTTATACCATCTACGTGTCTCCAGCTATCTCACTCCGTGGCACGGAAAACAGCGGCTCGTTAGTCGTCGGTGACTGCGAAGCGAAAGAGACAGCCAGAGCCACTCTGTCAAAATGGCTGGCCGATGTTTTCGCCGTTGCTCTTGCCAGTGTTTTTTCGCATGAGAGCTCATTAACGTTTCGCTTGGCTAAGTGCGCGCCTCGTCACTGAAACCAGTTAGTAAAAGAAATTTTTGTCCAAACTAAAACCGATAGCTACGTCACGATTTGATCATTTCGAATGCAAATTATTCTGAGATTAATAAACTAGGTCGCCATCCGTGGCGTTGCCGCCGGGCTGCGGACCCGTTCCTTCGGCGGATGATATCGGGACCATCATGTTGAATACTATCAATGGTGCACCAGTCAAAGCACTCTCTTCCAACCGTGCAATGCCAGAACCGAACGTCTAATACTTCTAAAGTGAATGTTAATAAACTGGTAAAGCAGTACCAAGTGAGGAAATGCTAAACAGCCCGCCGAAGTTGATAAAAAATCTAAGTTAAAGTGATACTCTAGAGTTTGATTACCATGTGAAGCTACCATCTACGTGTCCAAGTACAAAGTTGACAACGAAACCCTCTTCTAACACCAATGAAAAAGCCAATAATCGTGCTGGCGCCACTTCAATTCTAAGCATATAGTCACCAACGAAATTTCCCATCACCGCAATTGCGTAATAACTAATTAATCATGATGCTAACCACGGAACACATAATGCACGGGCACCCCCACTCGTCAGTCGGGCAGAGCACCTTATTCGGGTGCTCCACGGCGGGGCACAGTGGCATCAATCAGCTGGGCGGCGTTTATGTCAATGGCCGGCCCCTGCCCGACTCAACGCGACAAAAGATAGTCGAACTGGCTCACTCGGGCGCCCGTCCTTGTGATATTTCAAGAATACTGCAAGTTTCCAACGGTTGCGTGAGCAAAATTCTGGGCAGGTGAGACGAGACAGACGTTGTAACTATTAGGAACTTACCAATGCATAATGTAGTTAAGAAATAATAATAATAAATCATCTAGGATAATATGCTTAGATGAACTTATTTTGAATTAAAACCCTCTTTTGTTTCAGCTTCCAAAGGTTTTTTTTGCCAACGGTATTCATTTAAAACCTACTTGAAATATAATTTATTAACAATAAGATTAAAATAGAGCTGCACCTACACACAAAAAAAAAACTTGGTAAAATCAACTGTAATAATTGTCAAACAGGCCCCAACCAGCAAAATTGTCAATTCTACTAAGTAAATAGTCATTTCACAACAACAAAATACACACAATTAGCAAAGACACAAACCCAAAGCAAAAACAAAATACACGTAACTATTTTAATAGTTACGTAACTATCTTTGTTGGTCAATTTTACCAAGCAAATTTTTTTGTGTGTACTAAATTGTATCATTGAATTGATTTTCTCGATACCTTTACTTAAATTTGTCAAATACACAAAGTAAAACATTGCTTCGCATACCTTTTAGAAACCCCCATTTAGCTAAGTCTTAAATCTTAACCAAAATGATCATATTGGTTGTTAGAGACCTATGTATTTCTTTTCGTCATTATACCCGTTACTCGTAGAGTAAAAGGGTATACTAGATTCGTGCAAAAGTATGTAACAGCTAGAAGGAAGCGTTTCCGACCCCATAAAGTATATATATTCTTGATCAGGGTCACTAGCCGAGTCGATCTAGCCATGTCCGTCTGTCCGTCTGTCCGTCTGTCTGTCTGTCCGTCTGTCCGTCTGTCCGTCTGTCCGTCTGTCCGTCTGTATGAACGCTGAGATCTCAGAAACTACAAAAGCTAGAAGGTTGAGATTTCCCCCACATATTCTTTGGCTTCCTACGCAGCGCAAGTTTATTTTAGCCGAGCGCCACGCCCCCTCTAACGCCCACAATCGCCCACTAACGATATTAAAATGGGTCCTGCGCCCACATCTTTAAAGATTTCCGAAAAGTATAAATGCAATTTTGTTGTGTATATTTATACCTATCGAAATGTAGAAGACATTTTTCAAATCGGACCATTCATTAAAAAGTTATAAGCAATCAAAAATTATATATCTATCTCCCTCGCACTCCCTTTAGCTGAGTTACGATTATTAGTCGGGACACCAACCCGACACAGCGTTCGCACTCCCTTTAGCTGAGTGACGGGTATTAGAAAGTCGGGACAACAACCCGACTATAGCGTTCTCTCTTGTTTTTGGTTCTATTTTTCTTTAAGGAAACAAGTTTATTTTCTAGATTAACACGCTTATCGACTTGGAATTGAATTACATGCTCAACCCAGTATGACATTCTTTATTTAAACAATATATTTTAAACAAAGTACAAATATTGTGAAGAAAATTAGTGTAAGGATTTGTGCCGCAAAATGAATTTGTTTGTTTCTGTCAGTGGCGGATCCAGGATTTTTTTGTGGGGGGTGATATCAGAACAAGTTTTTTGTTGCATACTTTTTGAAAACTAAAATTTCTTTCGATTTTCACCCGAGTGGGGGGTGATATATCACCCATATCACCCCCCGTGGATCCGCGCATGGTTTCTGTTCTGTCCAGCTGATAGGCAAGCAATACGAATTTTAGGAATTTTTTGAAAGTTTTTTATATTTTTTTTGAAGTAGTTTGCGTAAGACAATATACTGTTGTTTTTGCGGAAAATAAAGAAAAAAGTTATGATAAAATCTTTTCTCGGTTTGCAGGCTAAGAATTACCAATTTCTTAAATTTAAATTAAGCAGCGAACATGCGCGGATCCACGGGGGGTGATATGGGTGATATATCACCCCCCACTCGGCTAAAAAATGAAAGAAATTTTGGTATTCAAAAAGTATTCAACAAAAAAATTGTTCTGATATCACCCCCCACAAAAAAATCTTGGATCCGCCACTGGCAGCGAATATAAAGTTTTGCTTAATTTTCAACTTTAATTTCCGCAGGTGAAGCTGCGGGCTACCGACCCTGCTAGTTATACCCGTTACTCGTAGAGTAAAAGGGTATATTGTATTCGTGCAAAAGTATGTAACAGGAAGAAGGAAGCGTTTCCGACCCTATAAAGTATATATATTCTTATTCAGGGTCACTAGCCGAGTATATATATTTAATATCTTATCTGATATTAAAGATACCGCAAAAAGCCAGAGCTGATGGACTATAGGCGTAGTAGCAAATTATGCTTATGCGGTTATTCCACTACATTGCACTATAGGCTGAATGACCACTTTTTGTGGCCTTAATTAATAACTTAAAAACGAAGCAACAATTTAAAGGTATTTTTTTTTAATTGCATATATAATATTAAATTTATGTTTTTTATGAAAAAATGGGCATGGTCACGCCTTTTTTCAAAAAAAAATTTTTTTTTATGACAAAAATAAACTTTAAAAATTATATTTTTGTATTGTTTTGTTTATAATAAAAAGAATATAATTACCAAAAAAGAATAGAGTGACTTCCATTTTTTTGTTAAGTGCAATCGAGTTTTAAATATTAAAATCAATATAAGATACACAAAAAATTAAAAAATACTTTTTAACAAAGTTATTCTTTTGAAAAGATGGTGTTAAAAAATTTTTTAATTACTAATATATAATTAGAAAGATACCTGTATACCGTTCATTAAAAATATCATCGCAATTGACATTTGTGCACCAATTTTGCGTGTGTTTTGCCGTTTTAGGTCGAGGCCTTTAAATACAGATTTTGGAAAAAGTGGGCAAAAGTGGACCTTCAAATTACATTCATATGACAAGAATCGAAATCCCCACAACCCAGTATAAATATTAAGGTGAAACTAGGTCACATTCTCTTTGTTTGTCTATTTAAAGATGAGTTTTTATTTCGAATTGTTAAAAGTTAAAGGGGTATAAATAAATTGTCAATTGCAAAGAAACCGCATTATATTTTAACACTTAAAATATACAAATAATTAGTTTAATCCACTCTCTTTCGATGCCGTAAAGCACCGGTTGTTATAATCGTTCTAAATTGCTCTTTGAATTAATTTAAAAGTTCTTGTTTTTTTTAAATTATTTGATCCACGTGCGCCCGTCACTGCCAACAGCTGTTTTAACAGTCTGTACCTTAACAGTGCGAGCCTCTGTTAAAATTTGTGGTATGTAACATTAAAATCTGATGTTATCCTAACAGAATGACATCATTGGATCCTAATTTTAAGGACTTTCAAAAAAATACTTTTGGCCACCTAAAGTGGTCATCCAGCCTATAGTGCATTGTTCAACTCATTCAATAGAGCAATTTTTTCTCAGCCTATACGATTTTACGTAGGTGCGAGCAAGACAGATATATGTCGGCTGCAATGGACACTTTTTTTTGGTATTTTAAAATGATTCAATACGGTACTACCTGGACCGATGAGTAATGAGCAAAATTGTGAAATGGAATCAATAATAACAAGAAAGAAAGCTAGCTTCGGCCAGCCGAAGCTTTTATACCCTTGCAGATCGATCCTATTAACTTACTATGATATTTTCCTCAAAAAAAGCTGTATTTTTCCTTCGCGTTTGGGGGGGGGGTCAAACGTCAATTTAGACCATAAGTATGTTCGCCAATATGGCTTGGAATCCTTTAAAGATTACGTTCCCCCTATACGATTCATCACTTTTTTCGGCCCCATACAAATCGACTAGGGCGATTTTTTTCGATTTGCTTCGTTTTGACCTTTTCTAAATCCAACGGCGAATTGCCCTAATTTTTTTTCTAAAATTTTTCTAAATACAAGGGCGATTCGCCTTAAAAATCACTCCAAAAGTGTGAAATTCGGTAGCCCAGCGGTCTAATCACTTGCGCTTTCAACTTTGCTATATGAGGACTAAGGTCGTGGGGTTGTGGGTTCGAACCCTGTGTGATTCAACTTGATTTTTATGTTTTTTTTTTTTGTTTGTAAACATTATAATACTGAGGACATTTTTTCGTCCGAATTTTAAATTAAAGTAGTCTTTAAACCTTAAAAACGTATGGGAGTTCTGAGTTAAAAGCATACTTTGTGTTTGCGGGCAAGAAAACGGGAACAGTCGTCAGGAAAAAAAATATACGGTTTAGTTGCCTTTAGTCATATTATAACGTAGACCTCAAGAAAATAAGATGTGTGCAGAGTTTGTTCGTCGTCTTGCGCGAGGGGTCTGTGGTGCAGCGGTAGGACGTTAGACTCTAAACCGAGAGGTCGTGGGTTCGATTCTCGCAATGACCAAAAAAAGTAAGTTGTTTTTTCTCCTCATATTTATTTCCCTAATTAATTTACAAACATGATTTTTCAGTTCTAACGGCTGTGCTGTATAGATCGGGCCCCCCTCTTAACGCGGCTCCCATATAAGCTACACACCAATGCAATAATATGAAACGGTGTCCTCCGCCGGTGCTGTTTAATTAAAGCAGTCCCAGTTCCCAGAATATAGACGATTAAAAAAAAAACATGCTTCCCAAATTCAGTTAAGCATGCTCAAACACGATTTTTTTTAATTTGTCTAATTTTTTAGGGCATTCGCCTATAAAAACAGAAAATTCGCCCTTAATTTTAGAAAAATACACCTTAAAATTAGGGCAAATCACCCTAAAAACAGGAAAATATTTCTTATTTCAAGAAAAATCACCCTAAATTAAACCAAATTTCCATCGGGATTTTTTAGAAAAATTTTCTAAATACACGGGCGAATCGCCAGCGGATACGATTTATGGGCGATTTTCTAAATCCACGGGCGAAAAGTCAGTTTTTTAGGGCGATTTAGGGTAAAAATTTCTATGAGTGTAGCTGCATATGTGCGTAAGTGTGCATTACAGTGAGGAAGTGAGATTTGATATCCTTTTGCTAAAAGAATATTTAATTTACATTTAAACAATAGATTTTAAACATTTTTTAAAAGATTTTTGTGTTTTAAAAAAAAAAATATTCAAATCAATTGATTCTCATGCTCTTCCTTACACGTGCCTCATATTGTTTAAACAAATGGAAGTATTTAAAAAATTTGATTCACGGCATCCTATTCCACCTGCCTTCCTTATTAATAATATTATTCTAATCAAGGTGAAAAATTAATGAAATCAAAAATACTGAAACAAAATATTTATTTATATATATTGATGCCTTATCTTAAATTAGTCAAATACATAAAGAAAAACATTGCTTCTCATAAATATTGTTTTCCCTCATAAGAGTTGTCTACTGTGAATACCTTCCAAAAGCCCCCCGTTAGCTTATCCGCCAAGAGTATTTGATTTTTATTTACCTTTTTGTTACCTATAAAACAAATATTTCATAAATTATCATATTGGTTGTTGGAGAGTTTTCTTTTAGAGAGAGAGAGCTATCGTTTAACACTTTTTTGTTCTACTTTTTTTATGAAAACAAGTTTATTTTCTAGAAGACGCTTTCGATTTTATCGATGTGAAATTTAATTACATGCCCAATCCTATATGAAATTCTATATTTAAGCGAGGACGGAAGCTAACTTCGGTAAGCCGAAGTTTTAATACCCGGCATCCTATTCCACCTGCCTTCCTTATTAATAATATTATTCTAATCAAGGTGAAAAATTAATGAAATCAAAAATACTGAAACAAAATATTTATTTATATATATTGATGCCTTATCTTAAATTAGTCAAATACATAAAGAAAAACATTGCTTCTCATAAATATTGGTTTCCCTCATAAGAGTTGTCTACTGTGAATACCTTCCAAAAGCCCCCCGTTAGCTTATCCGCCAAGAGTATTTGATTTTTATTTACCTTTTTGTTACCTATAAAACAAATATTTCATAAATTATCATATTGGTTGTTGGAGAGTTTTCTTTTAGAGAGAGAGAGCTATCGTTTAACACTTTTTTGTTCTACTTTTTTTATGAAAACAAGTTTATTTTCTAGAAGACGCTTTCGATTTTATCGATGTGAAATTTAATTACATGCCCAATCCTATATGAAATTCTATATTTAAGAGAGGACGGAAGCTAACTTCGGTAAGCCGAAGTTTTAATACCCTTGCAGATTTTACGAATGAAAACTTGACTAGAATAGCAACATGAATTAATAAACAACAAAATATTTTATAATTGAAAAAAATAAAAATTTAAAATTTGTCACCCTATTGTTCCAATGGGAGCTAAATGATATAGACGTCCGATCGGCACGCGCTTTTACCCTGACCAAGGTATGCATAAAATAATACGATTTTGAAAGTTTCATGGGAATAGCTTGTATTCTGCTCGAAATATCCTGAAAAACGTCCAATTTTGACCGATTTCACCCTATTGTTCATATGGGAGCTATAAGATATAGACGTCCTATCGGCACGCGCTTTTACGCTGATCAAGGTATGCGTAAAAGAATAAGATTCATGTCAAAAGCTCTTACACTGAGCGAAATATTTTCATTTTGTGAAAGCTATATCCGATTGTTCCTATGGAAGCTATACACAGAGAAAATAATCAAAAGTTTTAGGTGCAAAACAAGGGGTAAAAAAGTAAAATGCTTAATACAAATTGTATTTTACTTTGCATTTTTAAAATTTTTTATTTTTATTTTTAAAACGTTTTTATATGAAAACGGCACCTAAAACGTTGTATAATTTTCTCTGTGTAGGATAGAGACGTCCGATCGGGTCGGTTTTCAAATTTGATCTGCGTACACATGTTTTAGAACGACTGTGAAAGTTTTAAGTCGCTAGCTTTTAAACTGAGCTTAAAACAGACATACAGGCGGACAGACGGACATGGCTATATCGACTCCCCTATTGATCCTGATCAAGAATATATATACTTTATGGGGTCGGAAACGTCTCCTTCACTGCGTTACAAACTTCTGACCAAAATCATAATACCCTCTGCAAGGGTATACACACAAAAAAATTTGCTTGGTAAAATTGACCAATGAAGATAGTTCAGTAACTATAAAAAATAGTACTTTAACAATAAAAATAGTCGTCCGTTTATTTGTTTTTGCTTTGCGTAAAGTAACTTCTTTAGCGTAAAAGTATGCAACAGAAATTTTACAAATCTTCTGCGATGCCTTTTTTATAATTCCCAACTGGGTCCAAGCCCATCTGACTTTTGAGTTATTAAGACTTATTTTCTGTCTAAAGTCTGTAATATACTCCACTCTAGCTGGAAGTCAAGTGCAACCCGCACCTTTAGGAGGTGTAGGATAAAGTTACTTTATACAACTACCTTTTTAATATTACTTATAAATTACTGTGAAATAACTATAAATAATTGTATATTTACTATAAAAATAGTTAGTTAACTACAATTTATGGTTCGGGCGCAATCTACCCTTTCCTACAATTGCACAATTATTTTTTATAGTAACCCTTACGTTTACGAATTACGTAAGAGCAACAATTTACTTAGTAGAACTTACTTAGTAGAATTGTCAATTTTTATGGTTGCGGCCTGATTGACAATTATTACAGTTGATTTTACCAAGTTTTTTTTTGTGTGTAATAATAGGTTTTTGGACAAAGTACTAATATTTGAAAAAAAATTAGTGTAAGGATTTGTGTCAAAAAATGAATTTGTTTGTTGCAGTTGATAACTTACGCAAGCAATAAGAAATATAGGAACTTTGAAATTAAAGAAAAACAAATAAGTAGCAACTATATAGGTATGCTTAATTATACCCGTTACACGTACAGTAAAAGTGTATATTGTATTCGTGCAAAAGTATGTAACAGCTAGAAGGAAGCGTTTCCGACCCCATAAAGTATATATATTCTTGATCAGCCATGTCCGTCTGTCCGTCTGTCTGACTGTCCGTATGAACGCTGAGATCTCGGAAACTACAAAAGCTAGAGGGTTGAGATTTTCCACACATATTCTTGGGCCTCCTACGCAGCGAAAGTTTATTTCAACCGAGCTCCACGCCCCCTCTAACCCCCACAATCGCCCACTAACGATTTTAAAATGTGTCCTGCGCCCACATCTTTAAAGATTTCCGAGAAATATAAATGCAATTTAGTTGTGTATATTTATACCTATCGAAATGTAGAAGACATTTTTCAAATCGGACCATTCATTAAAAAGTTATACGGAATCAAAAGTGTTTATATCTATCTCCCTCGCACTCCCCTTAGCTGAGTTACGATTATTAGATAGTCGGGACACCAACCCGAGTACAGCGTTCGCACTCCCTTTAGCTGAGTGACGGGTATTAGATAGTCGGGACACCAACCCGACTAGCGTTCTCTCTTGTTTTTAATTTTAATTTCCGCAGGCGAAGCTGCGTGCTACCGACCTGCTAGTTTTTAATATATTTCTGAATTTCGGATTCAATTTCAAAAATCAGTCAGCAATCGGTATTGCTGCCATAAGAACGATCGGAAAATAATGGCATAAACTTTTAGCTTCTTTGGTTTTTATTGTATTCTAGTACTCTAGTATATGACTGTTTTTAAATATTTCCGAACTTCGAATTAAAATTAACAAAAATCGGACAACTATATTATATAGCTTCTATAGGAGGGATAGAAAAAATAATGTTAAAATAATACGAAATTTAATATTTTTTCGATTTGTTAATTAATAGGAATGATCTCCAAGGGTATATAAGATCAGACTGGCCGAATCAAGCTTCCTTTCTTGTTTTATTTTTAAATACGGTATAGATTATTCTTCATTCCAACTGTTCTAAACTTTTTGAATAACGTTTGATATTTCTTCTTTTTATTTTTAGATACTATGAAACAGGATCAATTAAACCTCGAGCTATAGGTGGTTCAAAACCACGAGTAGCAACAACCCCGGTCGTACAAAAAATTGCTGATTATAAACGTGAATGCCCCAGCATATTTGCGTGGGAAATACGGGATAGACTGCTGTCCGAACAAGTTTGCAATAGTGATAACATTCCAAGTGTAAGTTTTTAACTGTCAACATGCACATTTATAGCTATTACAAAATATTTTTAAATGTATCCATACTACTACCATTGTAGAAGAATTGTATCTTTGGAATTAGCGGTGGTTTTACAGTTATCTTTAAGAGCTTACTTACAGGAAGAAGAAAGAGTTTCCCCCTATAAAGTATATATATTCTGGATCGGGATCCCTAGCCGAGTCGATCTAGCCATGTCCGTCTATCTGTATTAACGCAGAGATCTCGGAAACTAAAAAACTAAAGGGTTGACACTAAGAATATACGACTAATGTAATGTTCAAGGGGTTCCTACGCAGGGCAGGTTTGTTTTATCAAGGTGCCATGCAAACAGTTTTTAAAATTTAAACTAAAATGTATTTGCTATAAAATGTTTGCCACGCCCAATCTATCTAACCAATCGATAACACCAGTTTACAAAATAAAATCGACTTCTTTTTAATCAAAGACAACTTTGGTATTCCGGTAAAGTACAGTCACGGTTGCCAGATTTGGCTCTTTTGAGCTCTTTTTTTCGCGTTGGCTCTTTGGCCCATTTTTATTGAATTTGGCTCTTTTTTGCTAATAGCGATATAAAATATTTTAAAGTTGGAAAAAACGAATAAATTTTTTTAATTAATCTTTTTTTTTTTGCAATTTAAAAAGTGATTAATGTCTGAAACCCAAAAGTGCCAGATCGAAACTAAGTTGTTCCGCTGGTATGGTAATTTGGTGTATGGTAAAAAGTTGGCTCTTTTTTATTCAAATTGGCTATTTTTAATCTTTTTTTGGCTCATAAACAATTTTTGAAGTGGCAACCGTGAGTACAGTTTACTAATTTTCAATGAAAGTGAGAGAGATGGAGACATGCATGCTTAAATTTCATAATTTGGTCATAACTTTCTAATGAATCGTCTGATTTGAAAAATGTCTTCTACATTTCGATATGTATTAATTAGAACAATTAGAACAATCACATTAGATGTGTTAATGTGATTGTGGGATCAAAATCGTCCCTTCTTGATTTTAGTATTTCCCTTCTCACTTTTTTCTTCTTGATATCAAAATGAAAGCATGATTGATTTTACGCTTATTTTTAAAAAACTAGCCTAGTAGCCTAGGCCCCTAAGCGTGCGGTTTATATGTTATGTAAGCGTATAGTCGCAAGTGTGTGTACAGTACCACGTCGAGGCGTCTTTTTATTTATTTTTTACTCCTTCATAAGAGTATAAACCTAGAGCCCAAAAGAACAAAATAGGAATGTACTTTGTACAGCGGCTCATGTGATGCTTCCCTGGCGCAGCTAGTAGAGTGTTTGAGTTCAAGTCCGATTTGAAAAATGTCTTCTACATTTCGATAGGTATAAATATGCACAACAAAATTGCATTTATACTTCTTGGTAATCTTTAAAGGTGTGGGCGCCAGACACATTTTAAAATCGTTAGTGGGCGATTGTGGGCTTTAGAAGCGGCGTGGCGCTCGGCTGAAATAAACATGCGCTGCGTAGAAAGCGACAGACAGACAGACAGACAGACAGACAGACAAACAGACGGACATGGCTAGATCGACTCGGCTAGTGACCCTGATCAAGAATATATATACTTATTGGGGTCGGAAACGCTTCCTTCTAGCTGTTACATACTTTTGCACGAATACAATATACAAAATACGAGTAACAATATACGAGTAACGGGTATAAATAGGCAGCGGAGGGTTAAAAGGATTTCGGTTTGAGAAAGGACATCAGGGGCATCCGCGTTTAAGATGGCTAAAATAGATTCAAACGCGATAAGCAAGGGCGCACAAAGGATTAAATAATTTCGGAACAAAACCAATCCATCCTATTTAAAATGGATTACGGAAAAGATATTTTCGACACTCGTCCCGTTTTCTGCGTTCTATCGTTTTCCGATAATATAAGCCAAATGAAAACATTTTCATTTTCAGGTAAACAAAGGCATTCTTGTGTCTTTTTGAACAAATCCACAAGGATCGCGAATATACCTTACCTGGGAGATTAGGTTGCTAGTATTATGTTTTTTGGGGATGTAGAAACGTTTTTAAATTCCTATTCAAAGGAGAAAGGAAGGTATATTAAAAATATAATTAATAGTATACAGACTTAAGTTTAATCAACATTATTTATCAAATATAAACTGATTTCACGAAACAAAGTTTTTGTAGTTAAAAAAAAACCGTGTTATACAGACATTGCGAAACGTACAGGCTTTATGAATATTTCTTAAACTCGTATAATTTGAACCCCACATATGTTTTCTACTTTAAAAGGCTTAAAGCACCAGACTCATTCTTGAAAAATTCAACCTTAGGTTACCATTTTTGCCAACGGTTCATTTTATTTGATCTTCTTTGATGTTTTTATTCACAAATATAATGGTCGAGTAATTCATTATGGCCATGTTTCATCACAACGTCAATGTTAAATGAAGAACAAATGTCTAAAAAAACGTTTGGCCCATGGCCGACGCACGTGCCGGCACTTATGTCAAATGTAAGAGTGGCATTTTCCATGTTTCCTAATGACGCTGTTAACATGTACACAAAGAAATACTTTATAATGTAATGAAATTTTACCTTTACTTGTAAAAAAAAAATTTTAAGCAGTAGATTTAATCATTAGTCCTGAAAAATAAATTTGTAATGCTAGGGCAATAAGAATTAAATGCTAAAAAATATCAAATAAAATAACTTTAAATAGCGTATTGTGTTACAGAATATTAATCTAATTTGTTGTGAATTTTGAGTAAACTCAAAAGAGAATTCCCAAGCAGAGAGACACCATTGTGGACGGCAGTCCAAGTAGTGACGATGCGCGCCAGGAGAGGCGACTGCTATTATATAGCCGCAGTATTGAAAATCTGCTATGATGGTCCGATCATAACAAGTGATACACCAATCGAACGGTATAGCAAAAACTAACAGGATTGCATTCCAAGACAACCAATTTCAATTGGCTTGGGAGAGAGGGCGGTGAAAGTGTGGAAGTGAAAATTTAATAAATTGGAGCTGTTGGGGCCGGTGGGGATAAATGGCCTTTTCTATTATTTATTCTTACTGACAATACTTGTCGAATGTAAAATCATATAAAATCAAGATTTTAGAGTACATTTTAAAATGAAAATAATTGCGAAATATCCATAACTCTTTAACGAATGGGGGCCACAATTGCCTTAAACGATTTTAAAAGTTGTTTTGGTAAAGTAAAAATTTGGTTTTATGGTGTTTTTCAATACCTATCGAAATGTAGATAAATAATTTTAGATGCATAAAGTCTCTTTGACAATATGGCTTAGAAAAGCACAGAGATTGTTTTCCACTCAAACGATTTATTACTTTTTTCGCGTCCATTCCAGTGCACTATGGGCAAAAAATTCGAAAGTGAGGCTTTTTTACATTTTTTTTGTTCTTCGGTATTACATAAATGACCTTATGTGGTTACTTACAATACTTAAAAGAACCCGCTATTTTTTCCCTTGAGAACGTCGAAAGTTTGAAATAGGAAAAGGGACGAGAAGCTTTGTAGTTTTCGCACCTTGATTTCTCTGGCTACTGTAAGCAAACCAAAAAAGTTTAAACATGGATACAAAGAGTGAAGGTTTATTAAATAAATTATAAGCACTGAATGTTTATTATAGGTACTTTTTTGTCCATTTGTTTAATGTGTTGTTGCTACGTTTTTTGATGACAAATAAGAAATGTATTTTAGCTTTCTGTGGAGTGTTGTAAGTATATGACGGTATAGGCAAGGTAAGCATTAAAAGTTATATACAAAACGAATTTTAATCAAATTCTATCAACCTTCATGTTGTAGTTGCATTCGAGTTCCGCACTACACGTTGCTTACACTCAGGGAAAAAATTGTTCTGATTGTGTCTGAAAACGTGTCTGTTTGAGTCTCAAAAATAGCTTTATACCGTTTGGTATCATTATAAGAATTTATGGTATTATTTTAAGAACGAATTTTTAAGACCGCTGTTCTTACTCTAAGAACGAAACGTACTTAAATTTATATTTATTTTTAGTACAAAAATAAATTTCTTTGAATGCTCCTGTAAGCATTCTGCCATGGAAGGAAATAATAAGGCCATGGCCCAGGGGCCAAGGTGCTGGATTCTGGTATTATTTTGTGTTTGGGGGTACGAGGTTCGATTCCCGCTCACAACACAACTTATTTTTTTTTTTTTGTAATTAGTAAACTAACAACATAACTTTTTTAATACATTTTTGTTCTTAAAGTTATTAAGGAAATATTAATTGAAATACATTTGAAAAACTTTTTACTTACATTGACTTATCCGGTTTTTGAACCGGGGTCCTCTCGCATCAGAGACAGACGCCTTACCAACTGGGCCATCGCACCGTGCTTCGCGCGCGTGCATAAGTTCAACTTAAATCTAAATTTACTGGTCTTAAATCAATACCCTTTGGTATCAATTTAAGAATATGGTCTTAAAAAAATAAAAGAACAAAACGGTAGTAATGTAAGAAATTCGGTCTTAGATTTTTTCGGTCTTTTTTTTCTGGGTGTAATTTTTGAATCGACAACAACTGGCAACCATCGGCTGTGATGGAATTTGTTTTGCAAACGATGAACGGAATCAAATTAAGCGATAGTCATCACACAATAGTTAAAAAGAAACTTAAGCAGTTTTTTGCCTTCTATAACACAGGTCGACATTGTTTTTGGTGCAGCCCTATGGGCATTAAATTGTGTTAATATAGACGGATATAAGCATATCTGCATACTTTTTTTTCGAGTTTAACGGGTGGTGTTTGTGCAATTGCGGTTTGAAAAAAGTAGCAACATTTAATTTTTTGATTTAAGATATCTTCGAGGGTCTCTGATCAGTTGTAATAAAACCTATGCCAAAAAATTGCTTAGATGCTCTTTTACATAATTGCATTTAAGGTTCCATCGTAATATGATTTAATCAAAGCCTATGAGCCAATGAAGTAAGTTGTTTACCTCTATTCCCAACCA